AAAATTTGAGAATTTTTGCAGTATTTTTCCTTTCTGAAATGTGTAGCAAAATTCCTGAACAAAAAATTCACACGGTCAGCCACAAAAATTGAAGCCCACAGATTTTGAAAGACAAAATCTCAAACTTTATGAACCCGAGCTTCACGTACACGTCAAGAGCTCCTCATCTGTCATTTTTTTGTGAAAGCATTTATTGTATGTCCCCTAAATAGTTTCCTACTGGGAGACTTACCATTTGCCACACGGCATTAATTTCCAGGTCCAATGGTGCCCCCGCTGCACGGTTCAATTTGAGGACAAATACTCCACGCAAACGTTTCTGGAACGTACTGATTGTGTCGGTGCTGTAAAGCGCTTCCCATTTTTATTTTGGACTAGCAACCAGCGCGTTTCCCATTGACTCTAAAAAGGAGAGGGTCAAGATGCCCTTGGAGACTCGGAAAAGAAAGAGTGATCGGGACGGATGAGAAAATAATTGATGAATGCTTTTCAGTAATGTGCCGGTGATTGTCATCTCCATCATATCCCCGATTCAATTGGGAAGTTCGAATGATTGACTGAATTAAACTTGTTATTTACAAGTACCTAAGAAACACCAAAATTCATTGAGGATTTGAAATATGGAAAAACTTAACGTATTGTTGAAAGTGAGAAATTAAGTAATTTATCTATAACTATCAGCAAGTTGGGCAAAAAACACAACTCAGTCTTGTTATATGGAAAAAAAACAATGTAATTGGTTAGGTATGCTGATAGTAATTTACAAACAAGGCCAACAGACAAACGCGATAGTAAATTATCAACATCTTTAGAAATTTGCCACTCGAACAAAAACTTAATGGTAGAGATAGCAAGTTTCTAGTGAAAATCAGTGATTTACCAAATGAGATCCAATTGTACAATAGCCAGCAAAGTAAGGCATGTTTTAATTGTAAGTACAATGTAAGTTTTCTATTTATGTAAAAGCTCATTATTCAAAATAAAAATTTATCAGTGGAAATAGTGAGTCACAAGTAAAATTAATAAATTTTTTATTAATGTTCACATTTAGATATTTCACTTTTTCTTTTTGTCAACTTATACATGTTTCACTTCCAATATTACGAAAAGCTCTTATTTTCATGATGATCAACATACTTCTCGATATCTCTAACATTATCAATCAAGAAAGATCGATAACTTTAATATATCTCTAACATCCCCCTCAAACTTAAGGTGACGTAGAAGAGGTTAATTTGAATTTGGTGAAAAGATCTTGAAAACGCTTAGATGGATATGCCTTAGTGAAAATATCTGCAGTCTGATCAACCGATGTAGTGGGAACAAGACGAACAATACCATGAAGCACGTGAGAGCGTATGAAATGACAATTTATTTCAATATGCTTGGTACGCTCATGGAAAACATCATTATGTGATATTTGGACAATGAACGGCCGTGCCCCCATTATGATGGACTCCCATGTCCTCTAATAACCATCGCAACCATAATAATTTTGATGTTGTATTAACATAAGCACGATATTCTGCTTCAGTACTCGATCGAGTGACTGTAGTTTGTTTCTTGCTTTGCCAGGAAATAAGGGACCTTCATGAGAAGAAGCAGTAGCCTGTAGTAGAGTGACGATTAAGAGGATTATTAGCCCAATCAACATCAGAATAAGCTGTCAACTTTAAGATTGAGTTAGCAGAAAAGTGAAGACCGTGAAATAAAGTACCCTTGACGTAGCGAAGAATTTGAAGAACAGCAGCAAAGTGAGTCGTTCGCGGCGTGGTCATAAATTGACTTACGATATAAATAGCATAAGCGATGTCAGGGCAAGTAATAGTGAGGTATACAAGACTACTAAGCAGTTGTCGATAAGGTGTAGGATTTGGACGAGAAGTCCCATCTTTGTCATCAAATTTGGCATTAGTTTAAATGGGAGTTGTAGCAGTCTTGTTAACAGTAAGTCCGGCTCGAAAAAGAACATCAGTGGCATATTTTGCTTGAGAAAGATAATAGCCAGAGGAATCTAACACAACTCCAAACCTAGAAAACAACTAAGCCATTCGAGATCTTTCATTTCAAACTATTGACTCAAATACTGCTGTAGTTTCATAATACCGTTATGATCATTGCTAGTAATAACCATGTCATCCACATATAATAGTAACAGAATATACCCACGAGATGTTCGTTGAACAAAGAGACCATTGTCATAGGAACTGGATGTAAAACCAAGGCGTTCCATGGTGGAACTAAACTTAGAATACAATGCATGAGGAGCTTGCTTCGGTTCATATAATGCTTGGCGTAGGCAAAACACTTTATTAAGCATGTGAGTGTATCAAGGATGAGGCTCCATATAAACTTCTTCAGTGAGATCACCATTGAGGAATGCATTTTTGACATCCATATGGAATAGAGGCCAATGCTTAATAGCAGCGACAGCAAGGAGGCAGTAAACAGAAGTAAGACGTGCAACTGGAGCAAACGTCTCGTCATAGTCAATGCCATACTTCCGAGTGAAGCCTTTTCCTACTAGTCTAGCTTTGTAGCGTTCGATTGTACCATTTGCCTTTGTTTTGATCTTGTACACCAATTTACAACCTATAGCCGACTTTTCAGGAGGCAAATCAATCAAATCCAAAGTATGGGATTTTTTCTAATGCTTTCAACTCATCCGCCGTTTCTTTCTGCCAAAGAGGATTAGTACGAGCTTCTTCATATGTGTGAGGTCTAGAACAACCTATAAATAAGCTCAGACACACAAAAATATAAAAAAATTCTCTTTTCCTCTTCATTCTTAAATATACTCTTGGGATTTTTCGAGATACTGATTGAAGGACCGTATGGGATAGAAGATCTCCATCCTGATATTGAATATCTTCCGCACATTTTATAATCCTCAGTTATGACCCTTTTTTTTTCTTTTAAATCTTGTCTATTAACATTGAAAAAAAAAGCACAAGAAGTTAAATTCAAAAGCAGACACTCATTTGGACAGGCCTCATCAAATGTCTATTAGCAGTATAGCTGTGGGCAGAGAGAGAGCGCGCGCAAGAGAGAGACTACCAAATAGTCCTTGGCAAAAAGATATTCATTATAGGTTTTAATAATTTTTCATTCTCCACATCATTGATACCACGATATTAGTTAAGATCAAATTTCCCCCGAAAACTTTAACAACCAAAATATGAGAGGCCTCCAATTTCTCGTCCTAGAAGTCCTCATGGAGTGAAAATTGTCTATACTGAAATTTGCTTTTAAGGATGAATAAATCTAAAATGTGACACAAGCGCTTTACGAGCGCACATTGATAACTATCTTTCTTAAAGTCCGAAATATATCTAATGAATATCATCATCACAAAGGTAGCCAAAACCCTCGTCCACCCACACCAAAACGAAGGACACTTTCTTGTAGCAACTACTAAAACAAACTGAGCACATTAAGCGAACTTGAAGGATGATGTTAAACGCAGTTAGGAGCAATTTGTGTTAAAGTAGACCTACCAAACCAAAGCGTTGCAGCTAGATTAGTCACTAACATTCACCGAAAGTTGTGCTTTGCTTTTGTCTTGCCGATAATGCTATTTAAATGCAGAGCTATTATTTTGCTTGAGTTTCACTTTCCATCACATGTGAATCCTTTACATTGAGGATTAGGTGTGCTGTGACGATACATACTAATGATGCCTTCCTCAGGCAGTTATCTTCTTTAAGAAGAAAATTACCAAAATCATCTTTAACTTGACTTCCCACCGTAAATATCCACATGAGAGACTAGCTCGATGCCACACACCCCACCACCACGTTTCCCCCTTCCACCGCACGTAATGCCATTGTTCCCTCGGAGGTCGTCACTGACCTCACATCTGAGGAAGCCGATGGTCACCACGCCAGCTTAAGGTCAGATCGAGCTTGTGGCCACCATGGTTAAGCTTTGTTACAGAGCTTGCGCAGCTGGATTGCCACAAAAGCTCGCGACTAGTCATGGCCCTCACAAGCTCGAGGCGGACCTCACGCGGGCTCAGCCTGAGCTCGTGTGCCCTCGTTGTCCCAAGCCACGAACAATCTCGCCATAGACAGAGACGGGGATGAGGGGAGAGGGGTATAGGCAACAGGCAAGGGGGAAGGTGACATCGTCGGTGTTAGCATTGAACTGTGGCATCAACCTAGGGGTGGCTCTCAGTCATAGATGGGGATAATTACCAAAAAAATCCTAAACCTATTGTAAAGATGCTAATTCAGTCATAAACTTTTCAATTTGGTTCATTTAATCCTAAACATTTTGACGATTTGCCAATATAGTCCTTTCAACCAATTTTGGCCGGAGATTACTAACGTGGACGTCGGATGTCCTACATGGGCAATGACGTAGATAATTTTTGCAATTTTTTTTAAAAATTTTCTAAAATTTTTCTTTTTTCCAATTTTTTCCTTTTATTCTCTTTCCTTTTTATTTTTTATTTCTTTCTTATTTCCCTCTGCCGATCCATGACCTCAGCGGTGACAACGTAAGACGGCCGGCGTCCACATCAGTGATATTCGGCTAAAATTGACCATAAGAACTATATTGGCAAATTGTCAAAAGATTTTGAATTAAATTGATCAAATTGAAAGGTTTTGGTATGAATTGGCATCCGTACAGTAAGTTTATGACTTCTTTTTCTGTAATTTTCCCAACGTTGATGTGTTGCGCTATTATGTGTGAGGAGAGAGAAATGGCAGGGGAAGAGAGTGCAAGAGGGGTTACGGTGGAGATTTTGAAGTAGATATATAATACAAGTTTGAGAGCCAAAAGAAATGAAGGAACAAGCAGAGAGTAGATGTAGAATATATGGCCATAACGAATACCAAATTCATCAAGCCAAATGACAAAGTCACAATCATCTTTGTTTCATTTAATCTTGTGAAGGTCATTCAATAGTGCACTCGACCTGCTCTTTCACAGAATGAATCACAGTAGAGGCAAGCAAAAGACATGAACATGTGCTGAATGAGAGGATGATAAGAGACATGAAAGGGACTAAAGTTTTATTGAAATGAAGAAATCAACAACCAACAAGTCGTGTGTTGAACATATTTGACCACATATACCACCATACTGGACCACCATCCTCATAAGTCTTTCCATACCCACAAAGATAAAGACCCCAAGATAGCCCTAAAAATTTGATCACATGACGGTGCACGCAGTGGCATTTTCTTCACTGAAGTAATCACATGGGCTCACGTAGTAACCCCTATTCCCACCTTGACACTCATCAGCTGGTCTTCCACATCCATCATAGCACATCACTGGCCTCCTCTGCCCACAATAGCATTGTGCCGCACCACACCGTCCATAGCATGGGGGACAACAATACACCCCCACCATCGGATACACCGGCACCATCGGATACATTGGCACTGGCGGGTAGCCTGCCATCGGCTTTGGTGCCTTCGGGGGCGGCGGCGCGGGCGCCTGCTGTGGAGGCTTTGGTGGAGCAGAGGCTTTCGAGGGCTGTACTGACACCGGTGCAGGAGCAGGTGGCTTGGCAGTTTCTTTCGGCGGCTCTTCGAACCTGACCTTCTTGGTCTCGACTTTCTCCACTATCTTGCCACCCTCGCAGATGATCTTCTGCCGGATTTTCTCCGGGCTGCAGCATACGACGGTGATTTCCACCGTGTTCTCCTTTTCATCGTATACTTGATTTCGAATTTCTCTTGTTCACAAATTAATTCATAGCAAACTCAGTCGAATTAAATTAACACCAATGCAATAGTAATTACAAATCAAGAAATGATAACAATTTTAAACTAAAAAGAGGGGAAGCAAAAAAAAAAAAAAAAAAACAAAGAGAGAGAGAGACTCACGGGGAAATTTACAGAGAATTTTCTTGATCTTCTTATAGCAGCGCGGGCACTGCAAATCCACCTTTATCCACATTCTGGTCTCCTGCAACAAACAAGAACAATGCAAAAATCAATAAAGTCATGTGTATCAAATGAATGCGAAGAATAATTCGAGGTTTTCCTTTTCCTAATCGTTTGCAGAGAAAGTATCAGGGGGAAGATGCAAAACAGAGAAATGAACAAGATAGACCCAACGAAATAATAACCCCCAAATGGAGAGATAGTTGTTCTGAAGAATCACAATCATAGAATGATAAAAAAAAAACGACCCAGAAAAGAAAAGGGAAGAAAAATGGAGTTGGCGGGTATCGAGAGAGAGAGGAGGAGGATTTACCTTCTCTGCCATAGCTGCGGGAGAGACAAGGTCTGGAGAGCTCCGAAAATGAGTGAATGGGAGTGTGAAGAGGTGAAGGAAGGATCGAGTGATGATGGGGTGTCGGTGATGGATGAATATGAATGTTAGAGAATGAGAACAGACTGGTTAAGAGGTCCCTATATGTTCAATAGCTTCATCTGCTTCTTAAGTATTGAGAAAATTCTGTATTTGGCTTAGAGTCGCATGATGAACAGTAGTCAACCAAAGTGTGCGGCAAACTCGCACTTGGTAAGACTAAGGACAAAGGACCTTGACCGTACGTATGTTAGTCCTCATGTCTCTGTCACGTTGAATACTAGGAGAAGCATGCGTCGAACTCATGACGTCCATTTGATTACATCACCACAATTGCTGGTGGGCTTGCAGTCTGTGGCAATGATGGGGCTATGAACAGATAATGCACGTGTTTTATCTTCCATCGTCGAAAGAATTACAGCAGAAGAACAGGAACAGCGCCAAGGCGATTCCTACAATTTCCATCACTTTGCTTTCTGCAGTTGAATTTCCAACACGCGCAGTGAGATTTTTGTTCCTTAAACGGTCGTTTTGTTCATGTGATTTCGGTCCTTTTGATTGTTGTTCTTGCGATGAATTTGGTTTCGACAATTCACTGCACATAAAGTTGGATTTCGAGGGAATTCACGGTTGACCGTAATGGGGTGAACTGTACTGTTTTATGCGCGGTAATGCTTAGCTCAATATATGGAACTAAAATTGTATGGACTGATCATCTTAGTATGTCAAGCAATCGAACACAATAACAAATAAATAAAGGAAATAAATGGTGCACCAGAGTTACGTGGCTCAAACAATGTGACCTACCTACTCTAGAAGGAGAGAAGCACAAGATTCCATGAAAGATCATACGATATGACGGAGAGTACTAACTTAAATTTTGAAAAGAAAAGAACAAAACCTTTATTGAGCTATCTACAACATGGGGTAGGTAATAGCCCGTATTCTCCAAACCGACGTTACATGGTTTGATATGAAGTCCAAGTTGGACTTTGAACTCGTGACATAATTTAATTTAAAGTTTATCAAACTCCAAAAATATTATGTTAGACCTTCCTTACATGGAAAATCAATATCCACAAAGTGTATAACATGAAATCAAAGCATTGTGGAAAGAAACAAAGAATGATTCTCCATCGACAATAAGACCAAATTACACGTACACGATTTGGTTGGCAATGAATGTTAGAATAATATTGGGCTTTGGAAAAGTTGATTGGGGGACCGCGAATGTAGTAGTGGAATTCATCTGTGTTAAGAGCAAGAAGCCATTGACTCGAGAGAACAAGAAGCTTAGTTTATCAAGTCACTGTCCATTTAGGTAGGAAGTCGCCATCCACAGTGCAGGTTAAGATAGATTAAATCCATGGCCTGAACAAAAATTTAGACCTATGACTCCATCTATGATGGGTATGGACCGCAGATTCTCACTAGTTAGGTTCAATCTAGCTTATAAATTAGTTTAGACAAAAGTTGAGAACTTGAGAAGCCGTGGGTTTCATTAGGCAATATTATCTCCTTCTAATTTAAGAAATTAAGCTTATAGTATATGACCTCTACATACAATTTGTGCTCCGCCTTTCAACTTGCAAGTGCGTGGCTGCCGATTATATCTTAATGCCGTAAAAGTATCGTGCACATGGGAAAGTTCCCTTAATTACATACGAGTGTTGAGCACGCGTTAAAGGGGCGTGCAAAAGCGGATCATTATGTAAGGAAGAAAAATAGAGAATTTCCTCCAAAAAAGAAAAAAGAAAAAAAGGGTAGTTATTTTTAAAGTTGCAGAAACGGGTGGTGGATGAAATTTGATTTATATTTTTTAAAGGGATAAGTGCATTTAAAGTCCCAAAACTTGTCACGAAAGTGCAATTGAGTCCTAAAACTTTCAAAAAGTGCAAACAAGTCCTAAAACTTGTCACGAAAGTGCACTTGAGTCCTAAAACTTTCAAAAAGTGCAAACAAGTCCTAAATCTTGTCACGAAAGTGCAAACAAGTCCTAAAACTTGTCAAATTGGTTCAATCAAGTCCTTCCATTGATTGTACTTTTTGAAAGTTTTAGGACTTGTTTGCACTTTTGTGACAAGTTTTAGGACTTGTTTGCACTTTCGTGACAAGTTTTAGGACTTGTTTGCACTTTTTGAAAGTTTTAGGACTCAAGTGCACTTTCGTAACAAGTTTTAAGACTTGTTTGCACTTTTTGAAAGTTTTAGGACTCAATTGCACTTTCGTGATAAGTTTTAGGACTTCTAGTGCACTTCTCCCTTTTTTAAATGGATTAAGAGTAAGATGAAATGGTGTTTTGTTTTAAAATATATAGAATTCTATTCTTTATTTGCCCTACATGATATGCTTTAGTAGCCATAATTGATAGGTTCATGTAAGCACGAAAATAGTATATTACGAGACATGACAGTAATATGAGAACCCACCCATCGGTGGCCGCATTGGTTTGCGTTCAGTTCCTTTCACGAGAGGTCCTGGGTTCAAAACTCGCCCATCGGTGATTTAAGTGGGGGGTCGTGGCGGTGGGATACTGTGCTAGCCCCCCTCGAGGACTAGTCGGGTATCACCGCTAGTTTGAGCCCTAGCTCGCCGGCCGCGCGGACACCTCGATTATCAAAAAAAAAAAAAGACAGTAATATGAGATATAATTATGTTCTTTATTTGCCCTACGTAATATGCCTTAGGAGCCAAAATTGGTAGGCTCATGTAAGCGCGAAAATAGTATATTAAGAGACAGAAATATCATACATATCGACATCTTATCAATAAACCATCAAGCGTACACATTTTAGGGCTTGCATTCTATTTCTATAAACAGAGATGCTCGATTTTTCGCTTAGATAAAGTAAAAAAAATATTTGATTAGCCAGCAATACCACATAAGTTGTCACGAAATAAGCATTACATGATACAATTTTATCTAAAGTCCACTTAATTTAAAAATGAAAAAAAAAAACAAGAGAGCAGTTCATAAGATTTAATTTATAAGTTTATCTTTTGAAAAAAAAGTTAATCTTGCAATGTAAACAAATTTAAATAACGAGTAAGGAATAATGATCTCAAGTTTCATTTGGTCAATCAAAAGATTAAAACAAAATGACATTTGAAGAACAAGATAAGGAAATCCAGATCCACTGGTATAAAAATAGAATAAAATTTGCGAAAAGAAAAACCAAAAGGTCTTCGTTTCAAATTTTCAATTACAGTGTATTCACTTAAATTTTGAGTTAAAATTCCCGCCATACAACTAGATAAATATCTTTATTTGGTATTTTCCATACTCAATAATGGATAACAACCCTAAATAATACATACGCAAATATCACCGACACTAATAACAAGAAGAAACCAAAAACATGTGATAATACAGTAATCAACCCATGTGCAAACCGCCAGCTAGCTATGCACAAAAATTATAAACAATCTGTTCAAGGAGCGAGGGGTAGATCTAGAAAATTAATCTTCAAAGATTGTTATATGAGTGGCCAGAAAAAATCCAAGTCTCCGTTTATTTTGTGAAAAACGAATGATTTTAAAAATATTTTTCTGAAAATGGTCGTTTGTATCGCTTGAAATAATTAATCATTGGCAAATGTTTCCTTCCTCGACAATAATTTATATCTAAACATTTTCGTGGACGATAAAAATAGTTTTCGTTAATTTATTTTTGTAAGCGGTACAGATGATCATTTTTGAGAAAATGTTTCACAAATCAATTATTTTCCACGAAACAAACGGAGGCCTAATAAGATTGTTTTTGCCCTTATTCCTAACTCATTATCACATACATTATCAGTGCAAGACTCTTTTGCTCGTGAGAACCTGATAACACAGAGGAGGATTGATGAAGGAGGTGGAGTAACGGCAAATTGGGCGCAACTCCCGCAAGAGCTCTTGCAGCTCGTTGCTCAACAGCTAGCCATAGAAGACTTCATGGCCTTCCATGGAGTCTGCACTTCATGGCGGTCCGCCGCCATCGTAGAGGAGCACAATGTGAGGAAGAAAGCCCCTTTGGCTCATGACTCCTGGGGACAAGCCACCCCAACATGAGTTCTGAGTAGAAGTCCGAGGTGCGTTATGTTCAATCCCCGTTCTCCAGCATCAAACTCCCCAGGTTGAAAGGCAGTCTTATGAATCATTTAGTGAAATCTTTCATATTACTGTTAAAATATACTTCTTGCTATTAGTGAGACAGGTGTATGCACGTTGGGTAAGGAGAACATGCCAGGCACATGACCTGATTACTTTGTTACCTATTCAATTAACTCTTTTTGAAAAAGTCTTTTCAACAAACCAATATGATGTTTATCCAGAGAATATTCGTGCATTAAACAATGATAGAATGCAAGGCCATACGATATTGGAAAACTCTTTCCCAAGTCAGTGTTATTCATAACAATACAAGAAATCCTAGAGAGAAACATGTCGAGAGAGAAATTCTAAACTTGAGTTTATATAGTATTTATATTTTTGGGATCGCGAGGTATACAAGAACCTCTTTTATTACAACCATAGATCTACGACCCGATCTAATGTTTGAGATAAAGTGTATATTTCCTATTGGCCCTAAGAATACTCTAGAATACACATTTTTTATATTTCCCTTAAAGAATATTTTAAAGTAATCAGGAAGCTTCAAGACATGCTTAGTTATCTTGGCCCACTTCCTCGGCTTATTGGGCCTTGAAACTTTTGGTCGGTGACGCTATTCTATTGCTAGTTAAGAGACTGGTGCCTTGAATAGATTCAGAAATTCACTTATTCAAATTTAGTTTAGGTAATATGATAATCAAATAATATAAGACAAACAATAATTTTACGCAAATTTATACCTATTTTACATTAATCAACAAACAATTTTTTTTATTAATATAAACCGTTATATTACTATTTCATCTTAATATTCATGGTATTTGCTTGAATGGTCATATTATATAAACATTAATTTAATAAATAACTAAAAGTATTGAACCTTACATTCCACTACACTATACAAAAGGATGGTTCTGTTTTTAAGCGATTTCTTACCAAGATACTATATCAATAGTTACTAAACTTTATTCCAATATGCAATATTGTCCTTAAATTTTTATTGTAATCAATATGATACTT